GAATAACCCTTATCTTTAGCTTCTTGTATTGTGATTGGTGCATCTTTATCTTTTTTATAAATTAAAATTCTTATCCTCGTAGATTGTGTTCTTTTAGTTTTTGTGAACGAGAAATTATATTCACTATTTTTGATCAAATGACAAATATTTAAGAAACAAGTTTCCATTTTTAAAAGTTATTAATTTTTATTATCATGGTCTTTTATAGTTTTTTATATATATAAAGACTTTACAAATTTACAAATTTGTCAATTTAAAAATTATCAAAATTTACAAATCTATACAAACTTATTTATAAAATGGCTTTTATTAAAACCATCATTAAAAAAATCAAATCAATTTTTAAAAAACAATTTTTTTTTGATGATTGGGATAATTGTTCTCAAAACATTGAATGGAAAAATTATTTGTCTTGTTCGAATATCGATAAAAATGATTTATTTCAATCCTCCACACCAACATTTGAAGAAGAAAAACAATTTATTATAAATGATGAAAAACAATTTTCTATACTACATTTAAATTTTTATACAAGATATGAAGATTATCAAGAAACAGTAAGAAACGAAGAACCAGAAATATATGAAGAATTAAAATAGTGGTTTGGTTATTTTGAAGCTCATGTTTGTTTATAAGCTAATATTCATGTAAAAGGAAGAAGGTGTGAAAGAAACAAATTTGACCAAGAATTAAATGATAGAAGAATAATCAAATATGAAGAAGATTTTGAGGCTGTTGTTAATCTTAAATTTAATAAAGAATTTAAAAAAAATTTCTACTTATTAGATTTGAATGATTTGTTCTATTATGCAAAAGAATTTTTATTGTATTAAAATAGTTGTTTTTCTTGTAAATATTTTATCTAAATAAATAAAAAAAAGTAAATATAATTGTTTATCTAATACAATTCAAATTCACAATAAAATTGAACTTACAGCCAATAAAGAGAATTTTAAAACGAATAAATTGTAAAGAAGAAGAAATATTTTCATTCAAATTTATTATTGTAAAGAAATTGCCAGAAGGTTCTAAAATTGATTACGAAAAAATTATATAATCTGATTAGTAATATATTCTATTATGTATTGTTTGACAATATACATATATCATACACATACGCTTCCAAACAATGCTTACTTTTATTGTACAAAAATTCAGTTACACAAACAGAACTACGATCGCTATATATCGAATTTAAATATCATTTCAAATCAGTAATTTTGATTTGGAAATTTATTCTATTAAATTCATATCAATCAGATATCAAATTCTGAATTTATCTAAAACTATAAAACACTACAAAATTATTGTATAAACATCTTAATTAATATCAAAACGAAAAATATTAAATGAAAACAACTTTGACAAATATTTTAAAAACAAGTATGATTTTTTTTTTCGTTTAGTTATATTATTATTATTTAATAATTAATAATAAAAAATATTTTATTAGAAAGAAATATTTAAAAAAAAAGAAACAAATGGCAGAAGATGTTCAAGAAAAAATTAAAGTTATCAATGAATTATACAGAGGAATATGTAACGAGTACCTTGAAATATTTCAAATTAAGAAAAATGGAACTATTAAAGCAACAAATGAAAATTGTATAAAAGTTCAAAAATTTTTAGAAAAATATAATT